AGTCTGTAGAACCGGTTCGTTGATCCCCCATTTCACCTAGGGGGAGTTTCCTATTATCGCAATAAATTCGAAATCATTGAAAAATATTCAAAACAACGAGAAATTGTTACTTTTCCCTTATACAGCCTTGGTTTCGAATGTAGCTAGCAATATCTGTTAATTATATTATAAATGATAGTGTTGTTCGGATCCATTTATTATTGCTGTGGCACTTGACAACGTTGACTTTAATTGAACTGAGTTCGCATGGCGTTGTATACGTGACTGTATTATTATCATTTCAATTATGCCTGAATTGATAATGCTCGTGTTCGATTTATGTAGGCCGGAATATCTTCCAATGTCACTGGAAAATCGTCCATGCAAATGAATGTTTGCAATTTCCGACTGGAAACAAAACAACGCACAAAAATAACAACAAAAATGGGTATATAATAATAATAACCACATTTTAGCAATTTTGATAATGAAATAAAATAAAAAAGTTTAAAAGCCTTCGTAAAAAAAACAGAAAACCGGTACAATAAAGAAAGTTGTCATTGTCGCCCGTTGCGTTAACAATAGAATTCAATTAATTCAAGGAAATTGGTGTAAAAAATTAGCTTGGCTTGTATTGATTCAACAAAGGGCTGTAAACAGGTTATCAGTCCTTGCATTAATGTAAAACACTGGGATTTATTTATTTAAATGGATTATTGTAGCATGTTTTCTAAAAGATTGCATTCCATAAATCACAAGCAGTTTAAAAATTGCGTTCGTGTGTTGTGGTTGTGGCATAAATGTTTTGTATTGTGCTTTAATTAATAACAGCAAATTATTTATGTATCTGCCTTGAAAAGTTTTAAATTAACACATTTATGGTTATTTTAAATTACTAGTGGAAAAGTTAAAGACAGACATTACGTTAAGTTTAACTTGTAGACAGTTTGATTGATTATTTCCTTTCTAGCAATTGTAAAGATGTCATAAGAAATTTTTCAGAAAGAAAACAGTTTGTAGTACAACCAAATAAAAAGCCATACAAAAGCATTTTTTGAAACATTTTCAGAAATAATTTTCAGGTGTGTGTTTAGACACGTCTTGGTAATAAATTATGCGGTAAAGTTTCTATCTAAGTTTGAATCTTTAAAACACTGTTCTACATCCAAGGTAAAAATTGCTGTTATTAAAGTATATCGTAGCTAGTTAAGTTATTTTCTCCATAGTTTAACGTGATAGATTTGAATTTTAAAGATAAAATTCTATTATAATGCTGTTACGACAGTGATAAATATCAGATAACATGTGTCCCAGTAACCTTTTCTTTCGACTATCAAGATTGAAAATGTTTTAGAATATTACAACAATGGGAGGTTAATTTCGAGGTTGGTGTAAGATGATTTCATTTTTTAAGTTAACTTTCTTTAATTATCACTTTTTGTTAATTACATCCTACTTTTGTAAAAATAATATATTGAGATGCAAAATCTAATAACAAAGCCTAGTTATAATAAAGTAATAGAAAAACAATTAAGTCGAGAGCGGAATACTAAAATTCATATTATCTCAGCCATACAACTAATTTTTAATTTACACTTTAACCGGAAATTAGTGATTTATTTTTTAATTTCTAGCCATTAGACGCCGTTTTAATGATAGTTTAGTAGCGATGTTTTACTATAAATTAATTTTATGGCTACTCATTACTTTTTTTGTCGTAACCGTATAGTTCTGTTCTATACAGTAATAATAAAAGCATTATTTTTTAATTCCGACATACAAGCGAATCAAGTGATGATTTAGCGATTTATAACTCAAATTATTTGTATGCTGTGATTTAAAAACTTGTCGCATTTTAAATCAGAAATCTCATCTCCATGAGAATGCGATTTATCACTCCAATCAGTGTGGATTTTTAATTAAGAATTAATTTCGGCGGTTTGGTGGCCTTGAGGAAGAATTTTTTAGGTCAGGTTTGCGCTGTGCTTATAGAAAATTAAGTAGCTTAATTCCGTAGACTTAATAAGAAACTCTTTTGGTGATTGTAATATGTAATTAGAAAAAACACAATTTAATTACAAAAGTTAGTGGCTTTAGAAAATAAGTTGGCAACAGTGAAAAGTATATCGAGCAGAAGATACAACACACTCCAGCTCCAGTTTCTAAAAACATAGGTATTTAACGGAAAAACAAATTTAAACCTCGGTTAAACCGTGACAACACCAACCAGATTCACGTTACCTTAGCAACCAACGATTGAACAGTTAAATTTTAACTGATGATGTTTAATCGAGCTAGAAAATTGGCCTAAGCCAGGCTTCTATATCTATCATTTAGTATTGTCAACTTAACTTCAAAATCAAGAGCCAATTAGATCGCAAATTCAGTGGATGACATTTGGCAGAATATATCATATCATTAAAAAAATGTAAAAGCTGTGACGCTATAGGTACACACCATACATATATTTTCTAAACATTATTGGTAATTTACAAGTTTAATTGAATTTTTTTTTTAATCACAGGCAACTTCTAATACCTAAACCGAATTTAGTGTTGTGTTTTAGGCCACTGTTGGTTTTTGTGATTATTTATATTTTATTTTGATTTCTATTTCCTATTATTTTTATAATAATAAAACGCTAAGGTTAATTTTTTATGATGACTAGGAAATTTATTATAAATATAAGTTTTAACAAAAAAATTACTTTATAGTACTGTCATATTAGGTTTTTTCTAAAATCGGAGTTTTAATTATGTATATAAAAATTTTAAATACCATGCATTTAAGCACACTTAGAAATTGATATTACATTTAAATTTAATCTGAGATAAAACTAAATAAGGCTGTGTACAAATTTAGGTATTTACCTAAAACAATGAAAGTTAGTGTAGATATTATTAATTGCTATAGAAACAGTATGCACCCGTAAAAGTATACATACTTGTTAACGGACTGTTTCGTTCACTTTATTGACAATTAAAAAACATTTTAGATAAACAACTAGAAAAAAAGATTTTCTCTTTTAGAATAAAACTACAAAAAATTAGCAAACTTGTATTTGGAGGCCAAAACAGTCAATTTCTTAATCAAAAAAGATTAATGTAATTAATTGATGTTTTTCGAAATAAATGTGTCGTTTTCCTAATTTACATTTTATTTCACTGAATTAAGATTGATACTTTCTGAACTTTTTCAAAATTTCAAAATCCAAATTAGTTACTTACTTTTTGAGTAACAATTACTTAATCTAAACTACAACTTTACTTTTGTAACATATAAATTAGCAATTTTTAATCATAGTTAATTTTTTTAATACGTACATACAACAGAGTGAATATAAAGTAGGAACTAAGCGGTTTTTTTTTAATCATTTGTAATAATTAATATGCATTAAAGTAATATAAAAAATGTGATCGTATTTTAAGAACGAAATTTTGTTTTGTTTTTGAGTTACCTATGCGATTTTTTTGTCAAAATTGCAATTTATGTAAGAAAAAATTTGAAAAAAGAAAATATGAAGTTGATAGTTGCAATCCTTAGATCATAACCTTTGTGAGAAAAATGGTTTTATAGTGGGTTGCCATTTAAAAAAAATAAAAATTTGTAGAACTCAAAATAAAACAAAATCTCGAAAAAATTTATTCTTGATAAAACGTCACATTTTTATAGTACTTTATCATTCATTAATTAGTTTCTCCAAAAAATTAATAGTTTAAGCAAAAAAACGTTTGATTCCATACTTTTAATTCACCTGGTATACCTAATGATACATAAATAATTTTTTTTATGAATTTCCTCTAAACAATCAGTAGATACTTTCAAGAGCAGTTTTAAAAACATGTAATTTCAAACTTGTTATCAGGGTTTTTACATTTTTCAATGCAAAACTATTCATTAAATTCACTACTGTATGCATAAGTATACCTGCACCTTATAAAACGTAGTCATTAATGTTTTCCCATTTATTTATTTAGTTGAAATTATACATAATATTGTGTTTTAAAATTTTCTGTTATCATTGTAACCCCTGATAAACTTTTAATACTACATTTTTCTAGAAAATATCTTTTAAAACATTTGGAATTTGCAATGACATATTTAATTTTTGCATGTCATAGGTGTATAATTTTTTATTTTTTAAGATGATGTTGGAACGGAACTTAAAAAATCTTTCGTATCTTTCTTTTCGTTAGTAATTAATAGTTGATGTACCCACATGTGGTTCGTTTAGAAAATTATTACATTTTCTTATTATTACTCATATTTATACTTTCTTTTTTTGCTTCTACGTGATTACTAGGTACTAGGTATCATTTATTATTTTTTTTATTTTTTATTATTATACAGCGACATTTTTTTGCTCTGAATATGTATTTACATATTTGTTATGATCAATTTGAAAAAGCACAAATGCATGGTACTATACGAGTATTGAGTATTGCAACACAACGAATTGAGATATAGGAACTCTAATTCAAATGAGTATAAATAAGGCATCAATATAATCACGTACACTGCAAAAATTAAGTAACATACTTTTTGTAACTTTTTCAATGTGTAAATTTGTCTTTTTTGAAGTTTCAAAGTGTTTTTAGAAAAGAGGATATATTCCCTTATTGTTCCCATCTCTAACCCTTGTTCAGTTTTGTTTTTGGCATTTTTACTATTTTAACACTGACAAAGTTTATGTCATGCTAATGCCCACTTAATCTAGCAAAAAGCAGTGTACGCGATTTTATTGTTTGCCACTGTACCTATACCTAAACCTACACTACCGCTCACGAAAGAATAGACACTAGGTAGAGGTTAAGTATAGAATAGCTGCAAGTTAGACTTGCTTTGCCTCCTCATATGTGCATTTTATATACCTAACTATTTGTTTTTTCATTAATAAAGACCATTTATTATTATCAATTTATTACCTATTAGGTATTTCTCCTCAATATTTCGTTCATTTTCAAAAGTCTTTCAGAGAATCGTTTTGTACAAATGTGCTTTTTGGGCAAATCGACGCTTACCTTTTCCGGTATGCGTCTCACTGCCGCTATCTTCAGACGGCGGCCCCGGCGGAGCCCTGATCCCATGTCCCAAACCCGGTGGATACCGTGGCCTGTTGAGAGGCGCGAAAGCCCCCGGCATCCCCAGCAGACTCGCAGCGCCGGGGAACTGCAATAAGGGGGCCCACGGCGGCCGCGGCGCCAAATGTGCCGCCGCCGCCGCATATAACTGCAAAGGTGGCGGCAACACCCCCGATTCTAACACCATTTCGTGAGGGTTCACTGTGAGGGCGCGAATCAGTCAATCACTAAAATCACATGTGTCTAAATCCATGTTTGAGTCACTGGACATCCACCGACCAACACCGAGTCATTGTGAGATCTACACAAAACTCCGGGAACACTCAATCCCGGAATTCACCGATTTTCATTTTTTTCGTTGTTCATTTGTTTACACACACACACTGAATTTGTTAAATTTCGTTGTTTTGAGTTAGTCCATGTGCACTAGGTTGCGTGTCTGTTTCCAGTGCTTGTTGGAGGTTCACTAACCATAACATTGTATAGGTTCGTGTAGAGGGCGTAACGGTTGCCACCTTTTATTTGGCTATATTGTGATTGGTTTGCGGAGAGACCGCCTTTCATGTTCTCCCGCCCAAATTGCTGAATATCATTAGTGAAGTATGGGGTGATGCCAATATGTTCCTGTTATTTATTGTTTAGGGTTTGATGTGTTTTTGGTGTAGTTGAATTTGGATTTTTATTATTTTTTGATGGATTGATAGCGGCGCTCTTTTGTGATTTATCGTTAATTAGATTTTCCGTTTTAATATGGAAAATTTTCATGACTAGTTTTTGAACACGAATTCATTTTTCGTGTGATACAACACTAATTTAGTAATTTGTCATTTTTATTATGAATAATTATCATATAAAGTTGTTTGCCATTTGATACGATAAGACGACCTAATTTTGTTCACTTTATACATTTTGAATTTTAGGTAAAAATCCACTTTTCGTTAATTATCTTTATCTGTTTAGTAATTTATGTTGTAAGTCCAGTAGGTACGTTAAATGTTTGAGTACGAATAAAATTTAAAAAAAGTGAGATTAAAAAAAATCAAAAATGACATCATAAACGTTGGTATATAATGTCAAAATGTAGCAATTACAAATATAAAATTGGCCTGTTCGAAGATTTAAAAACAAAGATTTGAATATTTAGCGTAACTTTAGGTTTATGCTCTATATTTTTTTTTTGTTCATAATACACTGTCAATTTTAAAAGTTGCAATCGGCAATATCTCAACAAAAAAAGTTACTGAGAATCACTCAAAACCGTTTTGATTGTTCTTAGGGGGAATCAAAATCACATGGTAAATGACGCACCTCCACCCACCTTTGAATAGGTATAATAAAAAAACTAAAAATTTAAAGTCTTTGTTTTTGAATAATTGGAAAAACGGCTTTACCAAATAGTCTATTGTTAATATTTTTGAAAAGCGCTTGTCATGAGTTTTCCAACGATGTATCGCAAGTAGGAAAAAATTTTCCTGTGGCTTTAAGGGTGGGTGGAGGTGCGTCACTTAGGTACCATGTCTAGAAACCACCGAAACGGTTTTGAGTGATTCTCAATAACTTTTTCAGTTCTAGAGATATTGTCGATTGCAAGTTTTAAAATTGACACCCGGTATGTTACGAGTACTGCTGATTATTTTTTTTTTTGGCTTTCGACAACATGTTGTCAGAATTTTTTTTTCTATGACAGAAGTTCGTTTTTCTTTTGGTTTTGGACTTTTTGTAATTTTTCTTTGCTTTTTAAATTTCATCACTTTGACGGTTTTATTTTTTGACAACAGTGTCACTTTAACATGTGAGTTTACGCAAGTTAAATAACAGAAATGTTTGTAACAAACAAAATTTTAATAAATGGCATATAAATGGCAACTCACAGAAACAGCTTTAAAATAAAAAAAACAAAGTGACATTGTTGTCAAAAAAATAAAACCGCCAATGTGATGAGATTTAAAAAGGAGAGAAAAATAATTATTACACGTTCAAAATCAAGAGACAATGAACATTTCTTTCCACTGAGTCAGCGTAATAGAGATTTACAGATTTGCTCGTTTCAAATGAAGTACAAAATGTTTTTTCTTTGCAGTTTTGGCCTAAAATCAAAGATTTAAAAAAAATTCTCTTATAAATTCAATGCGGGGACATGCTCTAGGTTCTGAAACTCCTTGTAATAAATGACTTTGGTCATTGAAATATGGACTATCTTAGCTAATTTTTCAAGGCCAAGTTACTTCAGTCCGGCCCTGCTTAGAAACTGCGGCCAAATTATTGATATTTTCAAAATTCTTTATCTTAGTAACATTCTATATCTACATATTTATATATTATTTATTATTATAGCTACCGTTTTTCCCCTCAGGTAGGACCACTTTTGGTTATATTAATATAAATAAGTCATCAGTATACAAATAACTTTTAAAAATATGGTGTATATTAATTAATAATAATTAGTTATGTATACATTTCAAGTAGGCGTACGAACAAGCATTTACATATTCATATAATATTCCAATTACCACACTGTCCTAGAGAAAATAATTTCATTTAAATCTTATTTAGCATAATTGAGTAACTAAAAGTTTGACAATTCGATAAATTATTGTCTTGGGTGGAGAAAATTTTTGACATGCCATATACTTTAAACTTATTAATTTCTCGTCCTTGCTCTGTCGATAAACTTTTAATTATTCAGTATTCAAAACATTTAATCTATTTTATAATGGTGTTAAACGACAAAATACGTTAGGGAATTGATTTAGTCGACGTAACTTTAAATATGGATCAGTTAATGTCTAGATTATTAGCACCCTGAAACCGAACTCCCCTGACTTTGTTGCCAAAGCAGCGATTCGAGCCGATGACTTAGCATTATAAATATTCAGAACGATACAGTCATCATCAATCATTTAGCAAAGTGACCTGTCATTGTGATATCCCTAACACCCTGTTTGTTGTAACATGGATGTTTATAACCGAAGAGGTGTTGGATCAATTTCAAATCAAAATGCTTTATAATCACCACACGAACATCCATTTTTCCTCAAAAAAAAAAACAATAAATTCTGAAATGTTTAGTACACAGTTACACTGATATAGAAAATCTGGTCTTCACAATCTAAAATTAGTTAGTAAACCCAATTGATAAGTATGACAATAATCTTCTGACCTCTGACGACAAGAAAACACAATGAAACACTTGCAGTTCATCATTCGAGTGAAAACAAAGACAAAAGAGTTTTTAATTATTTATTTTTGCTTTTTACACACATACACGTATTGAGATCAATTTTACCAACTCTATGAAGAGACATGTGCGATCCAGGCAACATTTCATTAGTTTTAAATATCTTTAATTTGAAGATTACTACCGGAAATACTTTAGAGACAAAATCTCAGTCATCGCGATCGAGGGTGTTCGCTCACCTTTTAAACAACCTTTCTATGTGGCACGTTTATATTCAAAACAATGGACAGCTATTGTGTTTGGTGTTTGTTGGAAAATAGGAAGCAATCGTTACGAAGAAGCACTTCAGTTTTCAGAAAATGTCAGAGTTGTTCTCAATTTAAAGTTTTTTTTTATAAATAAAGAGAAAAAAATAAAAACAAAGAGAAATAAAGGAAATGAAGAATTATTCGTTCTTTTTCTGTTGTTTTGGAAAGCAAAAGTTGTGTCTCAAGCAACGGACCATTCTTTTGATTATGACTTACTGATATGAATGTACTAAGTATACTAATTCAAGATTTGAATAAATAAATATTTGCTCTAAAATATTTTTTCTGGGCTCTTCCCTTCTTATCACTGCGATAACTCTCCCTAAACACACAATCTTAGTAGCAAAAGTCGCAGAAATGGCAAAGTTTGGTAAAATTGTTCTCGTGTTTGTTACAGCCATACAACGTTTTGTTTTAGATTATTACTGGAGAGACTACTATGGAGAAATCCCTGATGATGCTCTTCCTGGAGGTTATGATCGAAACCTAGAACCTACCTACATTGGTCAACTTTTCGTTTTAAATAAGGGTTTATTAACTACGAGGATATACAAAGGACAGAAGTGTGTGACAGCTTCTAAAGAAGGAATTTATACTTCATCTGAAGCAATCAAGGTATAATTTGTTTGTGTTGGCACCACGGACTTGATTTAAAAAATTCTAGATTTTGTGTAGTACCCAACCGGAAAAATTCCGCTGGATTTCTTCCACAGCTTCTGATTTACATGTTGAAAGTATAGGTAAACACTTGGTCGTAGGAGGCTACGAAAATGGTAAAATCCTGAATGTCGGAAGAGGTTCATACCAGGAGGAAGCGATAGTGGGAAAAGTTTGCAGTTATAATATCGGAAAAGCTTTAATGTATTTTCCTTACAAAAATGAAGAAATTAACATGGATTCGTACGAAGTACTAATTTACGATAATAATAATATTGATGATATTGATGTACGTTAAATTTCTTAAAATAAACCTTGCAAGTATTTGATCTTATCACTGATTTGAGTTGGCAACAAACTAGTTTATTTTGTTATAAAAAGCAGCATCTGGATATAAATTTGAAAAATGTTATGAGATCGTTGCAAATTGCAATAAAATTTTCTGTTGCCAACTAATAATAGGTAAGTTTATAGGAACATTTTGAACACCTAATATATATACAGGGTGTTCGGTCCAAGTCGCCCCGGCCGATAACACCTAAACTTACTAAACTAAAAAAAAATTCAAAAACTAGATTTTTAAATAATACTATTCATTCCCCGCTTTCTTAGTAAATGCATCAAATTTTTTTGGCACATCCGGTATAGCCGGAAATGCTATCAAATTTAGTTTTTCAAATGGAACACCTATGTTTTTTTTGCTCAAAACAATAATAATTGGTATGAAAAATACGGTAAACCACTATTTATTACATTTTACTTTACATAATGCACTTAGAAAACAATTTAAATTTTTTAAATTCTATTGCAACGTAGGCGGATTTTACTTGTCAAGGTATTCATGCAAAAAGCAATATGCTTGGATAGCGTTTAATTGTTAAAAAAAAGCCTAATTTGTCAATAAATCTTATTGAGATCTTTAATAATGGATGATATTAAGTACGACGAATTGGTAGATTAGCTTGAAGTGTTTTTTAAGTGCAATAAAAATAGAACGAAAGCTGAAAGACAGTATAGATAAAAATACTCAAATAGAGTTCACCCAAATCGTTGGAAATTTAGTCGAATTGAAAAACAACCGAGACGAATAGGTTCGCTTCTTAAAAATAAAAACCTGTGGTTCTTTGTGAAGAACAAGAAAATAGGAATCTCAATGTTCTGTTATCAGTCGAAGAAAATCCAAGAGTTTCCATAAGAGAAATCGGGCTATGTGACCAATTTCCTTATAAAATTCTAAGATTTAAGATGTTTTTTGATTGCATTGTGTTACGCAAAATGTAATAAATAGTGGTTTACAGTCTTTTTCATGTCAGTTATTATTGTTTGGAGGAAAAAAACATAGGTGTTCCATTTGAAAAACTAAATTTGGTAACGTTTCCGGGAACACCGGATGTTCTAAAAAAATTTGATACATTTATTAAGAAAGCTAAAAATGAATATTATTATTTAAATATTCACTTTTTGAGAAAAAGAAGTAAGTTTAGGTGTTATCAGCCGGGGCGACTTGGACCGAACACCCTGTATATATATTTTTGATAACAAATCCAAGAAACAATTTCTGTTAATTGATGTAATGTTTAAAGATATAAGAGTTTAAAGTGCAATGTTTTTTATCTGAAAAAACTTCTTTTACGATCAACAAGAGTAATTCTGATTAGTAGCAAAATGTCTCTCACTTACTTACTTCTGATATTTTTAAAATTATTAACAGTTGGTAGTGACAAATGGGACTGTGCTGGTAAGTTTAATAAATTTTGATAATTAATACTAGAAAACAATTTCAAGATTATTACTGGAGAGACTACCATGGTGTGATCCCCGACGATGCAATCCCAGCAGGCAAAGACACTCACGGTAACACCCTATATATCGGTTTGGCATACATCAGAGGTTACGAATTGCTCCCAGGAACAATTTTACCCGATGAAAAAGTCGCTCGCACGACAGCTTATGCATACGTTTTCAATACAAAAGATAATGTGAAAGTATTATGAAAATATTAGTTTGTACAAATGACCCCCTCTAGATTCTTTGCAGTCCATACCCAGAAGCTTTCGAGTGGATTTCTACTGAAAGTAAAGACTTACACAAGTATCAAAACTATAATTTGATTCCTGGTGGCAGTGAAGTCGGCGAAAATCTGCATATTGGAAGAGTTTTTCGCGATAATAATGTAATAATAGGAAAGATTTTTAAACACGAACGGACAAATAGAGGAATCTGGTTTCCTTTAAATAACAAACCTGCTAATTCCTTATCGTATCAAATTCTTAATTATAATTGTAGTAGTGCTAATCCTAAAATTGATCCAAGAGTTAAAATAGAATAAATCAAGCTTTGTTTACATGTCCTTGACTTATTTTAGATTATCTTATCAGAACAAGTAAATAAAAATCTATCAATAATTTTTCGCTTTTAAAAGCTACAGTTTATGTTGGCTGTAGTTGTAGTAAAGAGTTTTTTTTTTATTTTAAAGCATTTTCATTTGTTAGATATTAAGATGTAAACGCTAACTTCATCATAAATCATCCAGACAATCGTCAAAATTCGTTATTCTAATTTAATACGCAGTATGGCTTTCGTGAATAATTTGGCCCTCCTGTGGATACCTTTTTGGCCGAGCCACTGCCGTAACACTTGCAATTACAACACTCCGCCTTATTGTATCACCTCGTGAGAAAAATTCATTCGAGTTGATCAAACACTATGAGTTCCAAAATCACACTGAATAATAAATTTCCCGGAATAGATGTACCGCGAAAGAGACTTTTAGTTATTGTATCGTGAAAATTAAATCTCATTGTGCAAATTGGACAATTCGGTACCTAACTGTTATTTACCCATTCTCGAATGTCAGGAAATCGACTAATGGCATTGGAGTATCATTTCCTGCCATTATAACACTTTTGTTATATTTAACCAGTGCTACGTGGTGTTATCTTTCATATCCGGCACTCAGCCAAGTCTTGGCTTTCCCCAAAGAGGGAAAGTATAATTTAGGCATGTAGGGCTCGAAGCTTTTTTTGATAATTTGTTTGACTTAAATTATTACTTTAGGCCTCAATGATTTACTTCCTGAAAGGGTCATCTATCAAGACAGCATCAAAAGAAGCTCAGAAAAATATTAATTAAGCATTGTAATTAATATTCGTTATTAATTAAAGCACAATAAATAATTCTTAATCCAGCTTATAATTATGGCTGGTAGCAGCTCAAAGCGACATTAACAAGGCGACAAAATTAAATTCTCAGGACATTAATAACTTGAACTTGAACCTGTGGAATCTTAACGCGACAAGGATAAATATTTTAACAGTTAATTTTACATTCAATTCAGATTAAGTTAGTCAGTTGACAAGTTAATATTACCAGTAGTTAGGAAGATCGCCCGATGTTGAACATTGATATTTATGTAAAGCTCCCCATAAATTTATATTTAATTGTCACATTGAAACGCTCAACTAAACGCAAAGCACAAAATGTGGCCTTCACAACCTGAATGAATTTCAATAAAATCGAAACTCTCTTAACTTCACCGACGTTGTATTTAGCGTTAGTTAGGGTGTCGTAAATTTTTAACGATGCTTCAAATTAAACGTCGACGATAATTTTAAATGACGGAACGGCTGTCCAGAACACTAATTATAACATTTCGTGCCGCTGAACTAAAATAACCATATTCAGATGCAAATTAATTGAGACACTCGTCAAAGTTCTTTGTTCTTATTAACTTCAAGATTGAGATTAATTAATTATTTTAGTTGGACGTTAATTGCTTGTAATATATTTCTATTGATGCGAAAGTGTCGCGTGTTGTGACAAGTAGTTGTAGTTAGTTATCTATTAAAGTAACATCACTTGTTCATACAGAGTGCGCCAGAACTCGCGTCCCAGAGAAAAATGCCATGTAAGGAAGGTTAGATACCAGGAACATGGAAAAAATGTTAAAAATTCTACCTACAAAAATTTCAAAGTTATGAGAGTTTAAAATTTCCACTTTGACTCTATTTATTTCTGTTAGAAAAAAAATTGCAAGTTTTTTTGCTACAGGCTATTAGAAGAGGAAACAAGGAAGCTGTACCCTAAATTGTAACTATGTTTAACGTTATTTGTGGCTTTTATTGGCAAAATTTCCGTACGTGTACTTAATAATTATAAAAAAAAATCATAAGTATACAAGATCTTCAGTAATATTACATAGACATAAAAAAATGTCAAATGTCAAACTTTTTTTACAGAATCTTTTAAACATATTTTTCATGTTCCTGGTATCTTATCTTACTTAAAAATTTTCTCTGGGGCGTGAATTCTGGCGCAGCCCTGTATATTATATGAATGATCAAAAATTTAGGTTTTTGTACCTCCTTAAAAACAACCATATACAGTGTTTGCAATAATTTCTGTAGCGTTTCCAATAGTGAGGTATTTACCTAACGTTTCGGAAAAATCATTTTCCCGCGTGAGCACTCAAAATTATTTAAAAAAGACAATTTAACATTATTTAGTCATATACTATTTGATGAGTTGGTAGCCCTATCCGTTACTATGATTTTATGCACAAAAATCAAAATTTGAAATAGTAGCTCCATTTTCTTTGTAATTTTTCAAGTATATTCTGTGAAAATGAGTATGAGTATTTAAATATTTTATAACAAAGTTTTAATTTGAAACCGTTTTGCACTTGTAATACCAACTTTCTAAAACATATTGGCGTTGCTTACTTTTTTTACACCTACCTCATGTCCTTTCTACTGTACAATGACAACATTGATGCAACTTCGTTCTTTTGAGGTATAAAATAAGGTGACCCAAGAATTCACCCTCGAAATCTTTTAAAGTTTTTTTTGTGGACAACCTAATTGATTCAAAAATTTCCAACTTTCAGTTTCAGAACAGTTTACTCAGTAATTTAATACCTACATGTTTATAGCATATAGCTATGTATTTACGTTTCAATTGAGCTACTTTTAAATAGTTATTTATGTATAAAGTACCCACGCAAAATAGGGTTTTAGGAGACGAATCGTAATAAATGACGAGGCGACGTGCCTACCTACCTATAGGAGCCGAGTCTTTAATGAGAGGAGTCACCTAAAACCTTTTGCGTACGTGGTGCATACAAGATTTTTTTGTGAAAGCTCCCAAAACACGAATTCACACCTATTACTAATTAAAAAAATTTCGTTACCATAGTAATCAATTTTATTTTTTAGTCCGTAAAAACTGTTTTTGGGGTCTGAGTACCTAAAATAACCATATTTTATTGAATCCAGAAAAGACTCATTTTGGGGACCCAAATGAGTCCGCAAAATAGCTATTTTTGAGAGCGTATACAAAAAATTAATTTTGCTGTTACGATGATAAATAAAAAATTAAAGTGTCACGCTGCGAAATTCGTAAAAAATACTCTCGTTGCTGCACTTACATTGCTATTTTGAAAATCTAAGTAGGTAACTAAAAAAACAAATAGCAGTGCAAAATTTTAAAAACTTACAGACTTATTTTTTTTTCTATACAGGACGAAACAATAACCGCGTTGTAATTACCAGCTACCAATAAAGCATCAAGATTTAATTTGTGACACCGAATTAAACCCTTCGCATACACAGGATGATTTAGTTTGACATTTATGGCTTTATTTTCGCAGCCTTATCGTCTCGATTTCTACAGTAAGATGTGTAAAAATTATGAAGTCTTAATTAGGGAGTACGCAGGCGAGATTGCAATGGGATTACCACGCGGAAATTTATAAGAGCTATAAAGAAGGGAGATTATAAGATGTATAGGGGAGAAAAATTACACAGGGTCAGATCCGGCAGAGATAATAGCTTTTTGTAATTGGATTTTTATCTTTATCTCCGTCAAGATACAATTGATTAGCAAAATTATGAATTTGTGTAGAAAAACAAGACACAAATTAGAAATTATTTCGGCGGTAGTGCTGATGCAATCGCTCTGATGGGGAGGATTCGGCAACAAATGAACATCGGAGAGCATTGAATAAAACCATCTCTCAACCCCCGGTATATGGGGATTTATATCTGATGGCAGCAAAGTGAGCGAGTTTTTACGGATAAAAGGCGTATTTTAGAAGTTTCAACCCTTGTAATTGAGGACCAACAGGTTCAATTTAAATCAGAAACAAATGTTTTCTCGTTAGCCAAATTTTGATTCAAACACTTGTAAAGTTGTGTCAATAAATAATTCAAACAGCATTTAGTGCGCTGCATTATTTAACATTACAGATGTCACGACTGATTAGATGAAGTAAATGAAATCCGGGTTGGCGTTATGTTATAAAAGGGGACAAGGATGGACCAAAGGACCAGATGAGCGTAGTAATCTCGCACATATGTGCTTTGATCTGATACGATGATCTCCTGTGAGCGTTCAGATTATTATTGCTATCCGTCTGTGTACGTTTGCGCCGCCACGGCTTGATTTGTTGCCATCCTGTTACATTGGGGATTTAAGGGTGGGATTCACTTGGAAATTGTAATGAATTGTGGTGTTATGTTCTGATTGTATCGCGGCCCATTTCATTATCATTATAAGCACGCTGCGAATGAAACACAATAGGGGCCTACCGACAACCAACCGAACTTTTCGACACCTTCGATATCGAATATTCCACAATAAAGATTATTAGATAAATATAATGTATTCACGTTTACACAAAAGAATTTTTTTAATAAAAAGTTTAGATCAATTTAGACAATCCCAAAAGGCAGGGTGTTCCGGAGTATTTTATCTAGAATTGTCGGAAAAATCCAAGTCGGACATTGTTTTTTTATTTAAGACCGATAGTTTTCCAGTAATCGACAAATTTATTTGATTTTAAGAGTGTCAAAATCTTAAACAAGTATGGTAAAGACATAGTTTTATAGTGTTTCTTTTTTTCTACAGAAAATTGTTCCTAGATTTTGAAAAAAAAATTGTTTTTGCTTTAATATCTTTTGTTTCTGAATAGAGCCCGTAGGGGTTACTTAATTTAAGAAATGATGGACTCTCAGATCGTGATTTTTTTTTCATTAGAAAAATATTACCAGGTGATTCACATAAGAGGACAAAACTTACAAAAATAAAGTGTACATTTTTATTTAATTCTTCAAATAAATCTAACTTCGAACTTTGGAGCACTACATACGAGTACTATACATACTAAGGTATACTACGTACTATCTTTAAGTATCCGTAGATTGATTTATATGGAGAATTAAATAAAAATGTATGTATATTTTATTTTTACAACACACTCTCCATCTTACATGAATCATCTGGTATGCATAAAATTTGATTTTTTTAACTGTGTGAGAAGAGCACTTCTAATTTTTTTTGTCACAATTAAAAATACTTATATCATTAACTGTTAAATTAAATATAAGGTAATTGCAACAATTTATAAACGTCGTAAGTGGCACGGATCAGAATGTTCTACCCCTAAAAGATATAAACGTAAAAAGAGCACCA